GGCCCGGCCTCACCTGGAACTCCTGGCCCAGCCGGGCCGGGCCGGGCTCGGCGCCCAGGAACGCTTGCAGCGTCTGGTCCAGGCGGCTCATGCTGCCCCGCGGCCGGGGCGAGGGCGCAGGTCGGAGCGGACTGAAGAGGAAGTTGAGGTCCCCGCCCCCCAACGGGCCGGTTGGACGAGCCCGGACCTGAGCCTGGCGGGCCGCCAGCCAGGGGAGCGAGCGCCGCTGTCCCCGTCTGCGGCTGCCTGGCTGGGAGAACCCAGGCGTCCGGGCCCATCCTCACCTGGGGGATCCCGCCCAGCCCAAGCCGGGAATCTCCCCAACCTCTGGGGCAGGGTCGCTGAGAGCAGCGCCAGAGGGGGCTGCATCTCAGCGCCGGCCGAGCCCTCCCCGAGCGGCGTTATGTGCCGCTGTTCCCCCGTGTGCCCTTCCCCAGAGGTGGCTGCATTTCAGCGCCGGCCGAGCCCTCCCCGTGCAATTTTTGCTATACGTTTGTGGGTAGTTTTGCTCTGGGTTGTTTCCTTCCCCTTCTCGGAGCCCTCTGGCTTCCTGGGGATGGCCCTGCCTGCCCCTCAGTTGGGGGGAGCGGGGCTCAGCGTGCCAGTCGCCAGCCCTTCTTGGGGACCGGCCCGCTTCCCCCCCACCCCTTAGTGGGATCCTCTCCCCACCCAACCCCCTCAGCTGGGATTCCCTCCCCCAGAATGCCCCCAAGCTGCCCTATAACAGCCCCTTCTCGACACCACCCCTCGGCTGTGGTGCTAAAGGTAAATTCTCAGCCTTTGCTCCCCTGTCTGAGCTCAGGGCTTTGTGCACCTCCCAGCAGTCAGGAAATGACCTGCAGCGGAGACTAACCTCACCACATGTGCCAGGTGCAATTCCGCTGTGACCAGGGCATTAATAGCGGGTATTTCGCTACATGGGGAGGGCTTGCCCAGCACTGAGATGCAGCCAACTCTGGTGCGGGGCAGGTGAGGAACAGCCACACATAACTCTGCACAGGGATGGGTCACCAGGCACAGAGATGCAGCCACCTCTGGTGCAGGGCAGCTGGGGAACGGCCACACATAACTCTGCACAGGGATGGGTCACCCGGCACAGAGATGCAGCCACCTCTGGTGTGGGGCAGGTGGGGAACGGCCATTCATAACACTACCTCAAAGGACTTTAGGACAGGAAGTGAAGGCGTTTTCTGTATCTCAATGACACAGGGGGCTTAGGGAACCCTAAATCTGGATCTCCATCTGGATTTGGCCAGGACACTGGGGATCCACCCTCAGCTCTATGGGACAGGGTCTGCAGAGAGATCAAGGCCTTCGTTTTCATGCCGGATGTATGACGCAGAAGAGCAGGGCTACCCGGGGCCGTAGGGAGACTGAGAGGCCTGGTCTGGAGAGGAGGAACTGACCCAGGTAGCACTTCTCCCGCCCCGGCCTTCTCCTGGGGATAGCGGGGCTGGGGCCTGGGGGAAGGGCTGAGCGGCAAGGGTGAGACATCCACCCCGTGGGGAAGTCACAGGACCCTGACTTCGCCTGGAACCTGTGGGGAGGAACTGGAAAGAGGAGAATGTGATCGGAACAACAGCAACGGGAGACTCGTGTAGTAGAGAGGGTGGGGGGAGGTGTGGGGAGCCAGGACTCCTGGGTTGCATCCCCAGCTCTGGGAGGGGAGTGGGGTCTAATGGTTAGAGCGGGGGGTGGGGCTGGGAGCCAGGACTCCTGGATTCTCTCCCTGGCTCTGGGAGGGGAGTTGGGTCTAGTGCGTTAGAGCAGGGGGGACTGGGAGCCAGGATTCCTGGGTTCTATCCTGGGATCCAGGAGGGGAGTGGGGGTCTAGTGGTTAGAGCTGGGGTGGGGGGGGCTGAGAGTCAGGCCTCAGTTGTTCTCAAATGTGGCCACTGTGGCCGCATGTGGCCACCAGGGGCTTTTCTTGCGGCCGCAGCCACAGGGGGAGCGATGGGGGCAAAGCAGCGGCCCCTTCCCTGGGGCCACCAGCAGAGGTCGGGCCCTGCCACCCTCTGGAGAGACAAACACTGAAGGAGCAGGGGGCGGCCAGTGAGTTCACCCCCCCATTGCCCTGATCCCCGCTGCCTCCTCCAGCCCTGGGCTTTGGCCATGCAGCAACAGGCTCTGGCCTTACCGCCTCCTCTGGCCCTCGGCTCCAGCCGCCCCAGTGGAGGGATCCGGCCTCCAGCTCACCACCACCCCTCCCTCATCCACCCTAGCCCCCGCTACCTTCTCTGGCCCAGGCTTCAGCTGTATGGCCCCAGGCTCCATCCCCCATGCACTGGGCTTTGGGCTCGGGCGATAGGATCCGGCCTTGGGGCTCTGGCCCCGCCTGTGCAGTGGTGGGGTGCTGGCCCTGCCTCCCCTGCCCCCTGCCCTCCATCGCCCCAGCCCCCACTGCCTCCCCCGCCTGCCGCTACCTCCCTACCCAACTCCCCATCCAGGGCATGATATAGCGGTTAATATCACTTTTCACAGCAGGCTGTGAAAAAAGTGTTATGAACATACAAGTGTCACTTTTCACAGCAGCAGACTTACTAGCTAACAAGTCTTTTTTTAAAAAAAATAGCAAAAGAAACAACAACAACAAAGACAAGAATGTGCAAAGCACCTTGGTTGTGTTTCTATTCTCTTTAGGTCCAGTAAAGAATAGAGACGACGGTCCATGATTTTTATTATTGAAAAAAAAAAAAAAAAGCCCCACATAAAAAAATCGCAAGGATTTGGATTTGTGCATAGTTATTTGATTTTCCTAAAGTTAATTAAGTATTTTAGGAAAAATTGTCAAAGTGGCCACCAGCAAGATTTGGTAGCTGCATTCTGAGGCCACTAAAAAATTTGTTGTGAGAACCCCTGCTCTGAGGAAGAGGACTAGAGCCAGGGACAGAGAACCCAGGAGTCCTGGCTCCCAGCTACAACCACTAGACCCCACTCCCCTTCCAAAAACCCAGGAGTCCTGGCTCCCAGCCCCCTGCTCTAACCACCAGCTCCCACTCCCCTCCCAGAGCCAGGGAGAGAACCCAGGAGTCCTGGCTCCCAGCCCCCGTCCTGCTGGAGCACTCCGACATTGCTAAGCAGCATTGTGATGTCAGACACACCATGCTGTTATGTCACGGGGCAGGGGGCTGATGGGAGGAGCCAGCAGGATGATGTCATGGGGCTGCCCCACGCTCCCCCCAGAGGATGAGGATGGTGCAACGTGCCTGGGTGATGACACGGTGCCAGGATGTCGTAGCACATCATGATGCAATGTGATGGTGTCACAGTGTAGCATGATGTAATCACTCAGTACAGTGATGTCATCATATCTCAGCATGACGACACAATGGCGTAGCCCAGCGCTGGTGTGTCTCGCAACACGATGGAGTGTGGTGATGTCGCAGTGCACTAAGATGACATCACGGCCCAGCATCATGTGTTACACGGTGACGTCATGGACCAGTGACCAGCTGTCACCCCCAGTCCCTGCCCCGATGGCCGTCGAAACCCACCCCGCTCTCTGATTGGTGGACGTCTGGTAATAGCCTCTCGGGATTGGCAGGATTAGTCTCTAAACCCGCCCCTTCGGCTCGCTCTGCGCTCCCTGATTGGCTAAGGCTTGTGACAGTCTGGCCCAAAGTTGCGTCTGCACCGCCTCGCTCTCTGATTGGCTGCTACCCGGCACGCCGGGCCACGCCTCCCACGCTTCGCGCCCTGTGATTGGAGGGAGGCGCCGCCGGCCCCGCCCTTTCCCCCGCGTTCGGTTCCGTGCTGCGCGGGGCCGGGATCGAGGCTGCCGGAGGAGCGCAGGGGAGACCCTCGGGCGCGCGCATGGTGAGGGGAGGGGGAGACCCCCCCACTACCACGTGGGTTAGGAGGGGAGACCCCCCCCGAGGCCCATGGGGAGGAGGGGAGACCCCCAGTGGGGGAGGAGGGGAGACCCCCCCAGGGCCCCATGGGGAGGGGGGGAGACCCCCAGTGGGGGAGGAGGGGAGACCCCCCAGGGCCCCATGGGGAGGGGGGGAGACCCCCCGTGGGGGAGGAGGGGAGACCCCCCAGAGCCCCATGGGGAGGGGGGGAGACCCCCAGTGGGGGAGGAGGGGAGACCCCCCCAGGGCCCCATGGAGAGGGGGAGAGACCCCCAATGGGGGAGGAGGGGAGACCCCCCAGAGCCCCATGGGGAGAGGGAAGCCCCTGATGCATCCCTGCTGGTCGTTATGTGTTGGTGTTACTGAGCTGCCCTCTCCAGAGGGGAGGCATCTCAACATCCCTCTATGCCTGGCCTGCTCTCCGTTGTGAAAGATCCCCAGGATCTGCAGGGGGAGGGCTCCCCCGACGCTGAGATGCAGCCACCTCTGGGGCGGGTCAGCTGGGAAACAGCCACACATAACAGCACATGGGGAGGGCTCGCCTGGCGCTGAGATGCAGCCACCTCTGGGGCAGGTCAGCTGGGAAACAGCCACACATTACGGCACATGGGGAGGGCTCCCCCGACGCTGAGATGCAGCCACCTCTGGGGCAGGTCAGCTGGGAAACAGCCACACATTACGGCACATGAGGAGGGCTCGCCTGGTGCTGAGATGCAGCCATCTCTGGGGTGGGTCAGCTGGGAAACAGCCGCACATAACAACACATGGGCAGGGCTCGCCCGGCACTGAGATGCAGCCACCTCTGGGGTGGTGCAGCTGGGGGGGCAGCACCCAGGAGTGCTGTGGTGGTGAAGAAGGGGGGGGATCTGGGCTCTGCCCCGGGAGAAGGGGGCGTTGGTGTTATAAGGGGGGTGCTGCCGGCCCTGCTGTGCTAAGCTTGGTGCCGTTAAGCTCCCGGTGGGAAGGCGATTAGTGAACAGGGCTATTTCCTGCCGGCTCCTGCCTGGCATCGCTGCTGGGGCATGTGACAGCGATTAGTGATTAATGCTGGTCTGACCGGCTTGGCCCTGCCCTACCGGCTGCTGGGAGCGGCCCGGGCTGGCCGTGGCTCCGGGCCTGCACAGCGACTTGGGTCCGTCTGGTGTTCTCACCTCCATGGGGGGTGAAGTGGGGTCTAGTGGGTTAAGGCGAGGGGGGCTGGGAGCCAGGACTCCTGGGTTCTCTCCCTGGTTCTGGGAGGGGAGTGGGGTCTAGTGGTTAGAGCGGGGGAGCCACGCGCCAGGACTCCTGGGTTCTCTCTCCAGCCATGGAGCTTGGCTTCCTGTGACTTTGCCGCTGCAGGTGCTGCTTGGCATATGGAGATGGCAACGGGCGAGCCCGGCTCACCGACGCGGGAAGGGATGGCGCTGCCCCAGGAGCAGGCTGGGCTCTGCCCCACGGATACAGGTGAGTCCCTGCCTGGGGCGCGCCCCCCAGACTGGGGACAGGAAGGTGTGGGGTTGTCCTCCATCCTGTGGCCAGGGGCATTAGTGGGGCTGTGGTCACCGGGGCCCCCAACCCTACAGTGGGGACGCCCTGCTGATTGCAGAGAGAGAGTACCCCTGAATTGGTCACATAGGGGGCAAGGACTCTGGGGTTCTCTCCCTGGCTCCAGGAGGGGAGTGGGATCTAGTGGTTAGAGCAGGGGGGGCTGGGAGCCAGGACTCCTGGGTTTGCTCCCTGGCTCTGGGAGGGGAGTGGGGTCTGGTGGTTAGAGCGGGGGGGCTGGGAGCCAGGACTCCGGGGTTCTCTCCCGGCCCCGTGGCGCGCACCGGGACCTCGTGGGTAGAGCAGGGGGGCTGGGAGCCAGGACTCCAGGGTTCTCTCCCGTCTCCGTGACTCTCTCCTTTGCCCCCCAGGGGGGGACGAGCTCAGCACTGGCCCGGAGGAGCAGGAGGAGCTGCTTGCCCCACAGAGCAACGGGCCCATGAGAGCGGCTGATGGCCAGGGGGATGCCCAGGAGGAGCTGAGCGACAAGGAGCTCTCGGACTCGGCCTCTACCGACAATGCCTTGGAGGACTCGAGCGAGTTCGGGCGGCCCCTGGGGGTGGGGGCCTGCGATCCGGGGGGCCCCCCGGCCCCTTCCACGCACCGCGACGAGGACGTGACGGCCGCCAGCTGGCGGGCCCGCCGGAAGCACATCTTCGTGCTGAGTGAGGCCGGCAAGCCCATCTACTCTCGCTACGGCAACGAGGAGGCCTTGTCCTCCACCATGGGCGTCATGATGGCGCTGGTGTCCTTCATCCAGAGCGGCGACAACGCCATCCGCTCCATCTACTCAGGTAGGCGCGGGCTGGGCTGCTGGGCAGGGGGCGCGCTGCCTTGGCATTCAGGGCCTGGCACTGGGGGGGTGCCATGCTGTGGGGGGGGAGCTTGGCAGGGGGTGCCCTGCCCTGGCAGTCAGGGCTTGGCGCTGGATGGTGCTGTGCTGTGGGGAGCAGGTTGGGGGGCTGGGCAGGGGGCGCT